TGGCGCGGAACTGGCGGAGCGTGGAGATGGCACGTATATCGCTGGGTAAGGTGTTCCACAGCTGGGCGCCCCGGAACGCGAGGCAACCCTTGCCGAACCTGGTGCAAACTGGCGGTTGGCGCAGACCCATGGTGGAGTGCAACCTAGTTGGGCCAGCTGACGAAGGAACTAAGAGGGCTTGCAGATCAGAACGTGCGTGCCCACTCCGAGACCCGATTTGATGGCATGCAGGTGCCTGAGAGCCCTCAGCTCAAGCTGCTTGGCGTGTTATTTGACAGTACTCTCTCCTTCCGAACCCACATCCGTTCCCTTGCCGTTAGAGCCAACCAGCGACTCGGCCTGCTCCGAACGGCGTCTCGGATCCTAGACAGTGCAGGGCACCTAACAGTGTACAAACGATTTGTACGGCCTATAATGGAGTACGCCCCTCTCGTCTGGGCAAGTGCAGCACATTGTCACCTCCATCAGCTGGACCTGGTCCAGCGTCGAGCCATGAAGGTTATTGGCCCCTCATTGCTCCCCAGCCTGGCAATCCGAAGGCATGTTTACGGGCTGTGCTACCTGTATAAGCTCCAATGCATACCAGGTCCAGCTCTGCTTACCAACATGGTACCTCCCCCAGCAAGAGTCAACGCTGCACCCCGCCGGCAACGCCAGTCCCTCGGTGGCCACTCTTTTCAACTCACAACTCCTCTGCCAGCCTCCAGTCCAGAGTTCATCCGCCGCTCCTTCCCATACTTTGTCCTGGAGAGCTGGAACACACTGCCTGCCCCAATCCTCGCCGACCGCCCAACTCTCAAGAAATTGCCGACATTCAAGACCAAGGCCTACCATCACCTCCGCCAGACCAATTGGCTATGGGCCACTGACGTCCACCAGCACTGAGAATAACTGGTTGTCTCTATTATTATCATTTTCTGTTTCTCTCTCTCTCTCTCTCTCTCTCTCTCTCTCTCACTTTTTCTCTCCTGGAAAGCTCCTCATGCTCATTCTCCCTTTCTCTGTCCATTTCCCCTTCCTGATGCGTAGACCAACTGATGAACCCGAGACCACTAGGTCGGGGGAGGTTGACCTACCTCATCGGCACGCATACCAGGCTCCTCTGTGTTGTCAATGTTCGCTTGTCCAGTTTTGTCTACCTAGTACCTCCCCTTTTATGTTGCTGGCCAGTGTTTTGTAGTAAAAAAAATACTCTGGCCTTTACCTCTCTTACAATAACGTCTCAGATTGAATGATGCTTTTGTTCATGGAGCTCAGACAGTAGGCTGAATCCTCAGCCCTTCACTCTCCCCATAAACGATGCTGCATGCATTGCTGTTGTCCTCTTGGCAGTCTTTTTCTTACTTCGCGCGTTCAAACGGGATGACAACCCAGTAAAATAGTGGCGAAGGCTTTACCCAAAATAAGTTTCATCCTGCGGCGCTCTCCAGTGCACTGGAGACCCGAATGTACTAACTCATTGTGTAGCAGCTGATGCTAGTAGAGCCTTAGAGAAATACAGGCATGTGTTACGTTTAGTTGTAGGATAGCTGCGGTCGACACCACTTTGTGAAATATCAGTGTTAATTGAATAGTTATCCTATCAGCCACGATGGGAATTAACCGACGAATTGCGTGACCGATCCTTTCAATGTTCTAATCTTTACATTTACTTTTCTACCTGGACTCCTCCTTGGTTTCCCTTTTCTCTCTAGATTTCTCTTGTACCTTCTTGTTATTATTCAATTAATGTGGGGCTTTGAATAAAACAAGTCAAACAAAGTACTTTTGAATTTAGTGGTAATGTGAGCAATGGTGGGAGACCTTCACTACATTTAATCAGCATCTGGATTTTTCTCATTGATGTTGCTTACAACTTACAAGTCTGGCAATGAATGTTGCAAATACATGTACATTTAATTTACTTACATGCACTAGTACTTATACAGTTACATGACTGTACAGTACCGATACGTACATGTACATGTACATGTACATGTACATGTACGTACTGCTCTATTTCAAGACACAGACTTGAAAGAGACGGAAGGTTTGATTCGCGTAATGCGATCCGGAAGGCTTGGTGCAGTTGGTACTTTGAAGTACTTAGTCTTTCCATAGTCATCATGCCTCTACATGTACATGTACATGTACAATGACTATGCAGGTCGTCAACCAGTGAATGGAAGCTATCGCATCCCCTATTCACCTACAGTGTACACAAGCTCTCAGATTGTTTGGCACGGCTCACACTATTTTAAAATACAATATCAAAATATTTTTCCTGGGAAGTTACATCGCCATTCCATTCCATTCCGCGCTCCAATCATTCAGCACTATCTTGGCAATGCACGAGGGTGCTCCAGGGTCGACTCTGTCTATGCCAGAGTCGCCTTGGGCAGGCAGAACACTTTAGAGAAAGCCAGAACACGGAGCTGAGAAACTGTAACCTGCTCCCAAGGAGCATAAACACACACACACACACACACACACACACACACACACACACACACACACACACACACACACACACATACACACACACACACACACACACACACACACACACACACACAAGGACGCAAAATGCACCCGCCATGGTAAGGATGAGTAAAGGTGAATGAAACTGCAACAAGATCACCTCACCTCTACTTTAGAAAGGACAAGTCAGAGCGAGAAAGTGGAATCAAGAACAGTTGCCTGAGTTGGCGGTGACCCTCCGCCTCTTTGGTGAACACCTTGTGGCATGGTGTAACCGTGTGACGGTTGCCTCTAGAAATGGGTACTAGTACTTAGATTGACAGCATGAAACAAGGACTTAGGACTTAGGTGGAGGACACTGTGTTCGGAAACTATAACAAGGTTTATCTAATACTAGTTTTGAACTAGTAGTATTGAGTTATATAAAAGGGTACTTGTACTTGTACTAGTATCAAAATATCTCCTTTGTGTTCATTCAGCGGCATGATGATACTCACACTCATTGGCAGTCACAGTGGTCTGCAAGAATGCGGAGCATTGGACGTCTGGTGGTACTATTACTAGTATTAGTATTATGGGGGTACATGACTTGTGCACTGAATGCTTTGTTGTGTTACTAGTAAGTAGTAAGTAGTAAGTAGTAAGTAGTAAGTAGTAAGTCTACCACATACTCGTACATGTAACACCCATCACCCATGTTACTAGTCACTATCAGCGTCAATGTGAAAGAATGAAGACTAGGCCCGGCATAGGTGAACTTACTGTCTTGAAGAATGCAGGGGCGCAGTCGACAAGGATGAGGCGACTATGCCGACATAACAAGAGTGTTATATTATACCTTGTAACGACACGTTCACACTGAACAATACAGTGACGAGGTATTGCCTTACATACAGGTAACTACTAGTACAGTTACTGTTATCGTAAAGTGAGTTTACGATCTTGTCAAACATCGCTTTTCTGTTTCGCGTGTACTGACTGTAGTGTACAAAGTCATGCCCTTTGCTTGCCATGGGTGTCTCTACTGCCAAGAGTACATACCCCCCCCCCCCTACACGCTTCTACATTCTACATTATTATTTGTACAATAATATTGGCAATACAGTCATGTCATATGTACATGTTATATTCAGGGCCGAAACGATATCCCAAATACTCGCATATCCACAGTAACTCTATTATAACCTACACTACAGATCGATTACTTTGTACATGACATGTACAAAGTAATCGATCTGTAGTGTAGGTTATAGAGTTACTGTGGTCCCCAGTGTGGATATGCGAGTATTTGGCCCATTTTGGGATATCGTTTCGGCCCTGAATGTACATGTACATAATAATAATTATGACTTGTAGTACTCGATTTTGTTGTCAGAACAAACTGACCATGCATGTTGTTTGTGTGCTCGTCATCCCAATGTTCTAATCCGTGTTCTAGAAGGAGTCGAGATCTTTCAAAAGCCACCTAGGCCTCTTAGTCATACAAGTAGTTCAACCACTGATGCCGACATCTTGATTGTGTTTGACAAACAGAAACACTGTCACTGTCCTACATGATTGTAGACCTACATGATTGTACTACTATTAGTACTAACTGCTTTCCAGTCCGGTTGGATGTGTCATGGAGTTGTCCCTCGACCGGTTTGCCAGCAGGGTTGCACGTGTTCAGCCACTCAACATTCAAGAGCATGTACATGACTGTACACGTACATGTATGGCAGCTACTAGTACTAGTATAGTATTAGTAGTACGTACGTAGCCATTGGCGGATAATGCTCGAAAAATTGTCAGATTCTGCTCGAAAAGCAGTGAAATTGGCAGACCATACATGTACAAACCTTATGGCGGGCATTTCCCTGAATTCTGCTCCATCTCTCTATCCGCAAACCAAAACATGCATAAAACATTCCAGAAAACGTACCTGCCAATTTTTCTGCCGGCATTATCGGCCAATTGCCAAGGGCAAGGTATACAAATGTACACCTGCATTGTAGCTAGTGGCGCAGAGTAACCAACTAATTTACTTCATTGCATGCATGCAGAGGCTCGGGGTACAGAACTGGGGAACTCACTCCCGATCACCCTCAACCAACTACTACTACAAGTAATACTACATGATTGTACTTGAACAAGATCAAGATGTCAATTAGGCAAAAGCAGTTATGAAACCAGTCTGCTGTCATCATACTCGTATCCTGCCACGTGCGCCCTTGCTTCTTCTTTTTCAGCTTCTGGCAGTTTCCCCGCAGTTTGGAGGTGAATGGTGCATGAACGTTGGGTGAAGCAATGGCGAGAGCAACTCGATGCATTCCACAGCGCCGAGTGACAAACGGCCCTTTACTGCTTTAGTTCTGGCTGTGAACATCCTCTACAAAGCCATGTGCACAGTTGGGGGAGTCGCGCTAGCGCATCAGGCTGTCAAACCTTCCACTTCCTACTCTGCCCACACTACAAGTACAACACTCTGGACTACACAGACACAGTCCAGCCCTCGGAGCGGTATAAATAGGGTCGTACCACTCGTCCAAAGTCAGAGCATCCTAGATCCTCAGACCTTCAATCTTGCCTCTTATTTCAAAAGGAAAGTTCGGCTATCCCTCGCTTTCTTCACTCCTCAAATAATAATCCTTGCTGTTATTACTATTTAGATATGGCGAAGCCCGTAGTGTTCGTGATTGGAGCGACTGGCTCCATCGGAGTATCGACGCTAACTGCCTTGTCACAGAGGTACGGCAAGGAAGTCAAAATTCTGGCCGGTGTGCGCAACCCGGACAAGGCCGACAAGCTGCGTGCACTGGATAATGTGACCATTGTCAAAGCAGAAATCGGCGATCCGAACCTGAACGAGACGCTCGCTGGCGTGGACAGTTTATATATTGTTGTTCCAGGTGCTGAGGATCGGACAGAACTGACCCGAACAACAGCGGAGGCAGCCAGGGCAGCTGGTGTCAAATTTATTCTGAGCGTGAGTGTAACATCAGCAGATCGCCCTGAGCTCACCTTTGGAAAGCAGTTCTCCGGCCTGGAAAGTCACATCAAGTCTCTGGGAGTGCAGTATGCATTCCTGCGCCTTCCTCTGTTTTACGAGAACAACCTGGCACACCAGGCATCGATCGCCGGCCAGGGTGCCTTCTACGGCCCCGTGGAGGCAGATAAGCCGTTCACACCAGTGTCGGCAAGTGACGCCGGCGTAGCGGCTGCAGTCATTCTAAGACACCCAGCTAAACATCACGGCAAGACGTACACTCTTGCTAGCGATCGACACACCAAACTCGACATAGCCGCGGCCTTCTCTTCGTCACTCGGCAAGGAGGTGAAGTACGTGCAAGTTGCTTATGACCAGGCCAAGCAAGCGTTTATGACCAATGGCGTGCCGGAATGGCAGACTGACGGAATTATGGAATTGTACCATCTAATCGATGCCGGTGACCCTGTGCTCAACCTTGGTGATCTGTCTGACTTTGAAAAGATTACAGGAGAGAAGCCCACCAGCATAGCTCAGTGGGTGGCGGGAGCTGCCGACATTTTCAAATCCACGTGAAAGGAACTCTAGGAGTGCCACATGCAGTGCCGTCAACTCTTGTAAAGCTGGTTGCTTGCATGGAGTCACTGCACCCACAATCTCACCGCTATTGAGCAATTTGTTGATTGATTCTGCAGTTTCTAGCACAGGCTCTTTGCAAGCTGGACAGTGTCTGCTGAAGTTCTATCTGCTGCCCTAAATGCACACTGAGTACGTTGTTGCATGTTTACGAATCCTCTTCCCACATCCATTTCCATCCGTGTTAATCTCACCAGATATACATGTATAGAAGTCATGATTACATGCACCTCTAACCCAGCCGGTGTTATCAATTTTGTCTTTCACTAGCGCACTTCCTGTGCATTGCACCACAAACGTATTTTCTAATCAGAAACTACCCTTCATGAACGCCAGCCCAAGTGTGTGTGTGTGTGTGTGTGTGTGTGTGTGTGTGTGTGTAGTGTGTGTGTGTGTGTGTGTGTGTGTGTGTGTGTGTGTGTGTGTATGTGTGTGTGTGTGTACCCGTGCACACGTGCATGTGATGTGATCAAGGAGGGAAAACCTCTCCTAAATTGACACCATGCCCAGAGAAGAAAAGAGAGCACAGATAAAATGTCTCTGTATGAGTCTTGTCACTCAGCTACTTGGCCCTATCAGTAACAGCAAGAGTCCACGGGGTTATGGACTCTTGGCAACTTCTTGGTAACAGTTACACCAACTGTGATCTATTGACTTTACTAAAACTACAAGTCCTTCAAGATTTGGAGGCTCCACTGCAGCCAAATAATTATCTCTTTTTAAACACCTTCACCCATCACAGCCTGTAATTATACTGAAATTACTGAAGTACAATAATTATATTGACCTCCAAATTCTCGTCCCAAGGGCGAAAATTATTTGGAGATCAATTTATTGCAAATTGCAAATGCAGTGAAAGACCGTGGTGGTGGTGGTGAAGCCGAAAATAGTACAAAAAAATGTTTATCTACGCATGCATCAACGCAAGAACGCATCACGACACGGCAGCCAATTTGACATGTACATGTATCATAAGCATTGAACGTTTTCTTTCCCTTCTTCTCAAGATACTACATGTACTACAGGGAATGATAGAAATAAACTAAGAGACTATAACTACTTCAAGTATAAAGAGAATGGTTCAACCGAAAAACAGACTCTTTACATTTCTTTTTCTTCGTGTCACTTCTACAGATATACGTCACGGTTTGTAATAAAATTATTTGAAGTGTTCTTGTCAATGTGTACATATATGCACATGAATCAAACTTGAAATTTACTTTTCAGAAATAATTATAATGTTGACTGGACATGTACCGGCTGACTGCTGTACTGCGGTGCGTTTGTGACAACCATTTTTACATTGTCCTTCACAAACACACACACACACACACACACACACACGCACACACGCACGCACACCTTTGCCTTTGAACCTTCGGACCTTTGGATGCGCATTGCTCGGTGCAATGATAGCATTTTTTATATATTTTTCACTAAGCACACAACCTACTCGTCATAATAGGGGAAGACAACATAATATACAATAACAAAACAGCAGGGAGAGTAGGGGCTGCAAAGCAAGCCTGTGCTGGTGAGGCAAACCCACAACACCGACCTATGGTCTCGGCGTTTTAATATGGGCTTCCGCACCATAGCCGAGAGAGAGAGAGAGAGAGAGAGAGAGAGAGAGAGAGAGAGAGAGAGAGAGAGAGAGAGAGAGAGAGAGAGAGAGAGAGAGAGAGAGAGAGAGAGAGAGAGAGAGAGAGAGAGAGAGAGAGAGAGAGAGAGAGAGAGAGAGAGAGAGAGAGAGAGAGAGAGAGAGAGAGAGAGAGAGAGAGAGAGAGAGCTTCAAAGGGAGTTCAGATGGCTGTGAACACGATGCAATACTTGGGGGGGGGGGGGAGCTTCAAGATGGAACTAGTTCTGAACTGTTAGAGGCCACTGGCTTCGGCGAAGATGGTAATGGACATTCGTTTAAAAGGAGTGCAGGCCCTTAGGAGATGGTGGCTTGGTGAAGAGAGAGAGAGAGGTTGGCAGCGTGTTCCAGGTGTTGATGGTTTTGCATGGAGATGCTCGTTTTCGGTACATGTAGTTGGCCTGGCGGGAGAACATTTTCCAGTTTGTAGGGGTGTGAAGCAGCCTGTTGGCATTGTCTCCGGGTTACAGTTGTGGCATGGTGGACAAGGAGAAGGGGGACCACGGATCTCAGCAGAGGAGAACCTAGTTGGCACAGTAGCTTGTAGACGGAAGTCAGCGCCGCCACTGTCCATCGAGCCTCGAGGCTTTGTAGCAAGCTGTTGGGTTCCAGGATGTGGAGGGCGTTCAAGGTTGGTGGGAGCAGCTCCCATCCAGACAATGGGAGCGTACTCGAGCAGGGGCCGGACGGAGCCGTGATACACGGCCAGCATGCCACGGCAGTCCAGGCCACGAGCAGCTCTACCAAGGAGGCCAAGACGTGAGTTCGCCCTGGCTGCAACTGCCCGGAGATGTGTGGGAAATAATAGCTTGGAGTCAACCATAACTCCGAGGAGTTTCAGGTGTGGCTGCTGTGGGATGACCTCCCTCCAAAGTTTATTGCGGGGATAGGCCAAGGCTGTCGATGGAGATTCGTAGAAGCTGCGACTTAGATGGTTCAAACCTTACATGCCATTTTATCCCCCGTGCATGTAACGCATTGACGGAAGCTTGGAGACTATCAGCTTGGTGTAAGGCATCGTTGAGTGTTTTGACGCAGTCATACAGCGTAGTGTCGTCTGCAAATGTTCCCATTTCAGACCCAGGAGCCAGGCAGCTATCCGCATCATTCACTTTATACAAGGAACAGGGACGGTCCAAGGATGCTGCCTAGTGTTGTGGTACTCCAGCAGAGATTGGATAGCGATAGGAGCTCTTTCCGCCAATGACCACTTCCAGCGAACGACCTGTTAGGTAGTATTTAAGCCAGTCCAGGAAGGTACCCGCAAGGCTTCATACCAATGTTCCACAACTTGCGTGTGCAGTACACCTGTGTGGGAGACTTTGTCAAAAGCCCCGGCGATGTCGACAGCAAACACCTACACAGATCCACCAAGGCCAGATGTGGCCGACCACTTGTGGTGTACATGTAGTCCCGTAAGTAGATCGGATGGACCTAGACCTCGGCAGAAGCCAAATTGCCTTGGTGATAGAAGGTTTTGTCCCTCCAGAAAGCTCATGAACTGGCGGTTGAAGATGGATTCCATTACCTTAGAACATATAGAGAGCAGCGAGACTGGTCGGTAATTCTTTTCAGCGGATTTGGAGGACCTTTGTATACTGGAACTACTCGGACAACCTTCCATGCCTGTGGTTGGCGGCCGGTACTGAAAGACAGGAAGAAGAGGTGTGCTAGGGGCCCAGAAAGATCAGTTGCGCATTCCTTGGGTACCCTAGCTGGGATATTGTCCGATCCAGTGGCTTTGGATGAGTCGAGTCTTGTCAGATATCGTCGTACTGTGTCAGCCCGGAAATGAATCCTTGTGGCTGCTGGAGTTTCACTGTTGCCGGAAGCAGCAAGCAGGCTGTCCGCTAATATGTCGGCGGCAAGACTGCATTTTCTTGGGAAAGAAAGAGCCAAAGCAGTTTGCCTTTGCCAGGTTGGCTGGGCATTCCCGCCCATGTGCATCACCAGCGATTTATTTCATCACGGACCATCACTGATTGTCACGCAGATTGCCAGCACAGAGCTTAGCCTGGACACGCCGTTCCCAGGCTAAACGGGCCCTGTCCATCACAGTTGAGGCTTTTTTTTCTTTTCTTTTCACAGAATGCACCTACTGATAGACCATAACAAAGAGAGGAGAAGAAGAAGACAAAAGAAAATAATGATCGAGACAACAAAGGAGAAAGACAGACAATTAGGTCGTCATCGGTTGGGAGTCGGTTGGGCGTTCTGGAGCTCTGACGGTGTGCTGGATTTCCTTGGAGGCTGGAGGAGAAGCTGGAGAAGAAGACTCGGATGAGATCGCTACTCTGCTGTTGTTTTCCCGTGTTGTGTTGGGTTTTGTTCTCTTTTTTCTTTGGTTTCTGTTCATACTTTGTGTTAGCAGAGTCTCACCAGCTTCTGGCGTCCAGGTCTGAGCGAAATCACCAGTCTTCGCGCCTGTATGACGTGCCGGCATCCCTACTCCAGCTGGCGTCTCCTGTAGCAGTAATGCCTTGCTGTCAGTGTCAACTAACAGGGAAGTGCCAGAGATGTGCGTGCAAGATTTCTAACAACCCATGTGTGGATTGCTATCCAAGTCGCAACGTTCCATCAACGTGTCGAAACAGGACAAGAGGTGTCGCTGCCCCTCCTGGTTTCGGAGCTGGCTCTTCCTACAGCCAGAGCGATGGTCTGAGTGGCAGCGCTAATGTCGGCGCTATTATTAACAGCCGACCTGATAGTCTGGGTGGTGATAGCTCAGCGCTTCAGCCTGCCAGTCATGGTCATGGTGTGACTAGCGACCATGACCGAGGTGCTGACTGGCACAATCAGCCCCCTGCATGGCTGAGGAGAGTGTACCCCAGCAGTGAAAATTCTGAGCCGCAAACACAGCGCTATGGAGTACATGAAATTTCATCTTCGTCAGCACCAGCGTCTTCGCCAGCGTCAACACCAAGCCAGGACATGCCACCGCTAGTGGCTACGGCACCTTCAGTTGATTTGCTGGGGAGTCAGGCTAACTCTGTGCCCGATCCACCTCCGGAGAGAGTTTCCTCCAACCATTCTAGCCAGTCGGGCCCGTCGGGACCTGCACCTCGGCTAGATCCGCCCAGCCCAGCAATCAGTTCTGCGTTTGACGAGGTTGTACATTGGAGGAAGAGATTTTTCAAGATTCCAACAGGGTCCGTTGGAAAGGATTTTGTCAACCTCATTGCCGCACAACTTCGCAGTTTCGTTGACTCGGCAGGCACCAATGCGAGTGCTATGTATAATCTGTCGGTCTTGCCATCGTTGATGTTGCAGGTGACTCACAGTAAGAGCAAAGCTAAGGCTAACGCTGACCATCTTCAGAGGCGGATGGCTTTGTGGCGGGGCGGTGATTTGGATGCACTGCTTGCGGAGGGCCGTTGCCTGCAGGACACCTTGTTTCGCTCTAGGCCGGGTGGCAAGAGGCAAGGAGAGAGTGACAGAGCCCGCATGTTTGCTGAACACATGAGGAAGGGAAGAGTACACGATGCACTGCGCTCATTGGATAGCGGGAATGATGACAGTGGAGTGCTCAAAATAGACGACATGGTCACTCTAAAGGACGGCACCCGAAGCTCTGTCAGGGACCTTCTTCAGGAGAAGCACCCAGAGAGGCTGGCTGCCAGCCCGGAAGTCTTGTTGAGTGGACAGCCCCCCGAGGTGGACGGCATTCGATTTGACCCATTGACCCCGGATC